TCAAAATGGCCATCATCAAAATGGCCATCATCAAAAAATCTAGAAACAGTAAATGCTGGAGAAGGTGTGGAGAAAAGGGAACACTCTTGCACTGCTGGTGGGAATGTAAATTGATACTGCCACTATGGAGAACAATATGGAGGTTCCTTAAAAAACTACAAATAGAACTACCGTATGATTCAGCAATCGCACTACTGGGCATATACCCTGAGAAAACCATAATTCAAAAAGAGTCATGTACCAAAATATTCATTGCAGCTCTATTTACAATAGCCAGGACATGGAAGCAACCTAAGTGTCCTTCAACAGATGAATGGATAAAGAAGATGTGGCACATATATACAATGGAATATTACTCAGCCATAAAAAGAAATGAAATTGAGTTATTTGTAGTGAGGTGGATGGACCTAGAGTCTGTCATACAGAGTGAAGACAGTAAGAGAAAAACAAATACCATATGCTAACACATATATATGGAATCTAAGGAAAAAAAAAAAAAGGTCATGAAGAACCTAGGGGCAAGACAGGAATAAAGACACAGACCTACCGGAGAATGGACTTGAGGATATGGGGAGGGGGAAGGGTAAGCTGTGACAAAGTGAGAGAGTGGCATGGACATATATACACTACCAAATGTAAAAGAGATAGCTAGTGGGAAGCAGCCGCATAGCACAGGGAGATCAGCTCGGTGCTTTGTGACCACCTAGAGGGGTGGGATAGGGAGGGTGGGAGGGAGGGAGACGCAAGGGGGAAGAGATATGGTAACATATGTATATGTATAACTGATTCACTTTGTTATGAAGCAGAAACTAACACACCATTGTAAAGCAATTATACTCCAATAAAGACGTTTAAATAATAAATTACTCTCTTGAATACACCCATTTTATAAAGCAAAATGGACTCCAACCCAAGAATGTGAGTATAAAATATTTTGTCCCATTATAGTAATGAAAATCACGTAAGGTCTCAAAATTTATAGCTGTGATAAAATATAGACAGTAGCAAAGGAAAACTCTGTCTGATCTGTAATAATGTCAACCTCATTTAAGGAGGGATATAGTTATCCACCACTTTCATTCTCTATTATGCCAATCTCTTTTCTTATATACTTTTTCCCTCTCTTGTCTTACCAGTCCTGCCATCACATATATGATAACTGGCCAAGCAATTCATCTTTGCTATAAGCTTGGTGAAAAAGCAAAACATATGAGCTAAGTACGCTGAAGAAAGGGTAAAATTAATGGCAACAAAAGCCTAAAAACATGATTTCCTTGGTGGAAAGTTGTTCAAAGTCAATTTCATGCAAATTTTCTTTCCAACCACAAAGGAATCAAGAGTAATAATCATTATTAGTGTTGTTTCCCAATATTTAGTAAGACAGTGTATAAAATCTAAGTGCCTTGAAGAAACCACCAGAAATTTAAGACTTAAGGGCTCAGGAACAATAGTTTTAAAAGAAGTCAGAGCAATATTCTTCTTAGAGTCATACTTTAATATGAGTATAACATTAATGATGAAACTGCATTTAGCCTAGTCCCTTAGAAAATTTAGTAATAACAATATTCCTGTGTTTTAAAGGGAAGAATTTAGTAGTGTTAGGCAGAGGAGTAAAATCTTACCTTGAGGTTACAGAAACATTTAATCATCTTGATTCTCTCCTACTCCGCTATAATATGTATTACATTAATTAGATTTATATTCCTATCTATTTTTGAAAATGCGATTTTTAAGACATTTTCCACATTTTGTTATATCAAAACAAGCAGACCATTCATTTATATGGATTCAGAATAGGACAATCCTAGTTATCATCCATAGCATTATGTTACTATATTTGACAATGATGGAAGCTTGTGTATGTAGTATGCCTACACCTGTAATAAAAGTAGATTAGATTAATTTGTTCCTAATTCAAATTTGATTCCATTTGAACAAAATTCCAAGTCATATGGCTCAGAACAAAGTCTATATTTGACTTCCACAATTTAAAAAGACATTGACAAAATGAAAAGGAGTTGAGGAAATCCCCAAAGCTGTATATTTAGACCTAGTTCATTTTCATCAAGATCAAGATGTTATTTTACAGACCGAGTTAAAGAATGAGTTCTCACCAGGGTCCAGCTAATATTTATTTTCTCTAAGGACTAAAAGAGAAAAAATTGGAACCTGATTCATGATGATTCCGATTAGAAAAAATAGAAAATGTTTTGAAATTTCAGAGTTATTAACTATCGCAATGAATATTATTGAGGCTGTGAATTTCCTTTGCATATGTTAAGATTGGCCTCCTTCTATCATCCGTGTGGGATAATATATGCAGCTTTAGCTGCCAAAAGTTGTGCAGTGAAAATAGCTACATTTAACATTGTGGTGTGATAATACACGCTATAGTTGAGGACTCTGCATGTACCTTTGCTTTTTTGTTAATAAAGTAGATTCAAATTTTATTTTTAGTGTGAAATAATTAGAGAGATTTATGGAGTCATCTATCCTAGTCAGCTTGTTCTCTTTATTATATAATGGGTTAAAAAGGAAGTTTAATCTTTAAAAAAAATCCTCTAAGAATTCAAGATTTGCATGCATCTTGTTGTGGTGATCTGTAGCTTTTGTGTACCCGGCTGTCTATGATTATAATTTAAAAAAAAAAAAAAAAAAAGCAGTATACAGATGAACCTGAACCATAAATTATTTAACATATTGTAAAGTTTGTAAACGTTATGTTTTAGGAATGTTCTGTATAAGTTCTCAAAGAAAATCAAAGGTGAACTCATATAACTAGTTTTTGTACATTTACACGAAAAATAGCATGTTACACATTGCAGCTTATCAATCACTTGTCTGCAGCTACACTCAACATGCTCCTGGATATTTCATTGCACTGGTTGTACATGTGATTGCTGTTATTTTTACAACAGCCGTGCAGCACCCCAGAGGCTGAATTCAGGAAATGAAATTGAAGCTTATTGAAATTTGAGGGACGACTGTCGAGTAATATAAAGAAACAAGAAAATAAGTTGATTTTGCCCCTTATAAATGAACAAAATTGATTAGTACATGAGCCAAGTTGTCCTTCAATTCTGTATCACATGTCCAGTGAAAGTTCTGATTACTAAAATCTATGCAATTAAAATATTATAAACCCCTTGTTACATGGGTACACTATCAAAACATTAACCTCAATGTTATTTCAACAATAAGCATAATTAACAATGTTGTAGCTCTGAGGTTTTACGTAGACATTAAAAATGCCTATAACAAAAATTTAAAAAAATGACTTTTTCAGTACCAATAATTATCCAAGTTTTTGCAAGTTAAAGATAAATGTACAATTTTAAATTAAATGGCAAACTAATATGGCTACTGATTCTCTTCCTCAAAGCTTAACCTGAGAGAGGTTCCAGAAACAAGAGAGGTTTATGAATCTTGTAACCTAACAGAAAAACTTTGATAACACAGTTATAAAATGAGTGTAACTGTGTTCCGATAAAACTTCATTTACGGACACTTGCATTTAAATTTCATATAATTTTCATGTGTCATAAAATACTATTCTTCACTTAATTTTTTAACTATTTAAAAATGTAAAAAACATTCTTAACGTGTTGGCTGTAGAGGAACAAGCAGCAGGCAAGATCTGCCAATGGGCTGCAACTTGCTCATCCCTAAGCCAAAAGGACAAAGACCGGGTCTAAGGAGGCTTCCAAAAGTCATCGTGACTGAAGAAGAAAGAATTAGAAGAAAGTTGAGATATGAAGTAAAAAATTATGTAATCTAAGTACCCGATTATTTATTTAAATATATATCTAAAATTCACACTAGAGGTAGGAATTTAGGGTACTTTTATGTTTTTTCTTCTCTATTTTTCTAAAATCCCCATAATGAACATGTTATGTTTTTATTATTAGAAAATAAATCACTTTAAATCTGGAGGGAAAAAAGAAAAACAAAAAACCCTCCAAGAGCCTGATGTTTAAAATGATTGCTAGGAAAATCAGGGTCACTACCTGATATATTGTTACAGAAATAAATTAACCTGAAAGTGATTTATTCATTACAAAGTTTTATCTTTTATTTTGTAATAACATGAAGACTTTGACAACTTAGATTTTACTATATCCCTTTTCCTTATGCTCAAGGGAACAAATGTATTTGCCCAACTATCCCTTGAAGAGATTATGCTAGTTTGTACTTCTACCAACAGTATCATCAGTTCCTTTGTAATAAAATACATTTCTTATCATCCTCTAAATTCTCCAGCTCCCTTCCTCATCTTAGAGTCTTTATTCAGTGTTTCAAACTGCCTTGCCCAGCATTCTCACAGACCTGGGTTCAGATTCTTCCTCTATAACTTAGTAACCTTAATGCCTTTAATAATCAGTTTCCTTGCCTGTGAAATGGGAACAATAGCTCTTGCCTCATAGGACAGTTGTGAAGATTAAATGAGATATTGAATGTAAATCTACGTGCACAGTGTCTGGCACATAGGAAGCACTCAATAAGAATGACAGTCACGACTAGCTTTTCAAAAATTGTGATAAAATACACATAACATAAAATTTACCATTCTAACCAATTCTAAGTACATTCACACTGTTATGCAACCAACCACCATCCATCTCCAGAAGTCTTTTTCAATTTCCAAACTGAAACCGCATACCCACTAAACACTAACTCCCCATTCTCTCTTCCCCACCAGCCCCAACAATCCCCATTCTACTTTCTGTCTCTATGAATCTGACCACTTGAGGGACCTCATATAAGTGGACTCATACAGTATTTGTCCTTTTGTGACTGGTTTATTCCATTTAGCATACTGTTTTCAAGGTTCATTACTAGCTTTTAAGAAACTACTTTCTATGAATATTTTTCCAAGAAAAATTAAATACTGACCTCTCCTAATAAGTACTATAAAATTAAAAACCTACAGTGTTATATTGAAGTGAGGCATTTCCTCTAATAACTATTAATATTTTCAGAGAATTAAATGTTACCTATACCTGACATCCATTCACAATGGACTGGAAACCGGAGCCACAAAGCCTATTAACAGTGACAGCTGGGGTCTCTTTTGGGATTCCCACACGCAAACCAACATGTCTTGCCAAGTATATAGCATCTGAAGAAGTCTGGAACAGAGGGAAAAGAAAAAGAATTTCCTCTATATATCTAGGAATTAAGAAGAAGGACACAATATAGTAAAATGTTTACAATTTTTCAAAAATTATAAATTATATGGCTCTAAGGTAGGACACAATGCATACAGGTACAGCATATTTTATATAATACGTGTTAATGATTTGAATAAAAACTGTAATTCGGCCAACTCGATTTTAAACAAAGTATGAGAAATCCTTATATTAAATCCTCAGTAGAACACAGAATTTCATAACAACTAGAACTGTTTAAAAATGGAACATGCTATCTCAAAGTAGTACGTTCTTTAACAGAGGAAGCATTAGAGGCTATGGCTCTCAACCTTGGCTGCACAGTGGAATAACCGAGGAAGCTTTATTAACACAGTGATGCTCAAGCTCCTAACCAAACCAATTAAACCAGAAAGGCTGGAGGTGGCCACAGGCATCAGTAGCTACTTTTAATAGCACCCAGGTGATTGTAATGTGTAACCAAGGCTGAGGCTGGCTGACCTAGGAAGGGGAGAGATGAACAATGGTCAGGAGAATAAGAGGTGGGACTAGACTACTGCTTCCCAAACTTTAAAATGCATACTGGGGCATCTTGTTAAAATGTAGGTTCTCAGTAAATAGGTCTAGGACTACCTGAGATTCTGCATTTCTAACCACTGCCCTGGTGAGGCCAATGTTGCTGGTCCAAGGACCACACTTTGAGTAAGAAGGGATGAAACGACTTTTTTTTCTTTTTAACGATAACAACAGCTTCTATTGTAGAGAAAGCTAAAGCAAATTTGATAAAATGTAAAGTTACAAGAACAGTACAATGAACACCCTAAAGTTACCTTGATGGACCAATTCTTTACGTTTTATCAAATTTGCTTTAGCTCTCTCTACAATAAAGGTACATTAGTGCCTTTAACACCAAGAACCTTAACACCTCTCAAAATAGGCAGGACATAAATATATAAGTTCAAAATATAGTCGATTCTTATTATGTGTAGATTATATACTTGCAAATTCACCTACTTGCTAAAATTTATTTGTAACCCCCAAAATCAATACTTGCAGCACTTTTGTGGTCATTTGCAGACATGTGCAGAGTGGAGAAAAATTTTAGCTGCCTGACATGCACGTTCCTAGCTAAGGATGAACAAGGGGACACTCTGCCTTCTTGCTTCAGCTCTCAACCTAGAAACAGTGATCTTCCTGCAGTCTATTTAGTTTTATGCATTTTTGTGCTTCTTGTGGGTGACTTTACTGTTTAAAATGGCCCCCAAGTATATAATGCTGAAGTCCTTGCTCTCCGGTATCCCTAAGTGCAAGAAGGCAGTGATGTGCCTCACAGAGAAAATATGTGTTAGATAAACTTCATTCAGGCATGAGTGATAGTGCTGTTGGCTGTGAGTTTAATGCTAATGAATCAACAATATATATTAAATACGGTGTCCTTAAATAGAAACATATATAAAACAAGGTTATGTACTGCTCAGTTAACAAAAATGTTGTGACCGGAGGCTCACAGGAACCTCACCCTGTCATTTCCCCTGAGAGCAGTGGTTCAATAGTTGCTAATTCGGTGTACACGGCAACTATATAAAACATAACTACTGTGAATTAACGAGAATTGACTACCATGAACAGTTGTGTGCCAATAAATTAGATAATTTAGGTAAAAAGGACAAGTGCCTAGAAAGACACAAACTACCGAACCCAGCTCAAAGAAAAATAGACAATATGAAGAGACCTATAATAAGTGAAGACTGAATTAATTAGTAATCAAAACACTACTCACCAAAAAAGCCCAGACTGGCTTCATTACTGAATTCTACCAAACATTTAAAGAAGCATTAATACCAATTATTCACAAACCCTTCCTAAAAAATAGGAAAGGATCACTTCCCAACTCATCATGAAGCCAGAATTATCCTGATATCAAAACCAGACAAAGACATCACAAAAAAGTACAGATTAATATCTCTTATGAATATGGATATAAAAATCTCCAACAAAATACTAGCAAACAGAATTCAGCAATGTACAAAAAGAATTATATGGCATGACCAGTGTAAGGGTCATCCAGAAATGTAAGGTTGTTTCATCACGTGAAAGTCAATTAATATAACACATTGTATCAACAGAATAAAAAACAAAAATCATACGATCATCTCAATTGACATAGAAAAAGCACTTGACAAAATCCAACACCTTTTCATGATAAAAACATTCAATAACCTAGGAAAAGAAGAGAACTTCCTCAACCTGATAAAGGGCATCTAGAAAAACCCATATAATCACACTTAATGGTGAAAGACTGGATGCTTTCCCCACAATATCAGGAACAAGACAGGGATATCCATTTTTTGTCTCTTTCATTCAACATCACAGGTTCTAGACAGAGCAATTAGGTAAGAAAAATAAATACATAAATAAATCCAGATTGGAAAGAAAGAAGCATAACTATTTCTACTCTCAGATGACATAATGTTATATACAAAAAATCCTAAGTAATCAACTAGAAAACCATTAGAAGTAATAAATGAGTTCTGCAAGGTTTCAGAATATAAAATTAATATACAGAAATCAATTGCATTTCTTTTTTTGAAAAATCAGCTGCATTTCTATACACTTGCAATGAACAATCTGAAAATGAAATAAGAAAATTCCATTCACAATAGCATCTAAAAGAATAAAATACTTAAGAATAAATTTAACAAAAGAAGTGCAAAACATATTCTGACAACTCTAAGACACTGTTAAAAAAATTAAAGAGGATTTATACAAGTGAAAAAACATGCCATGTTCATGGCAATATTCCTTCAATTGACCTACAGATTCAAAACAATCTCTATCAGAATCTTAGCTGACTTCTTTGTAGAAATGGGTAAACAGATTCTAAAATTATCAAACTGCAGGAGACCCAGAATAGCCAAAACAACTTTGAAATGAATAACTAAGTAGGAGGACTCACATTTCTTGATTTCAAAACTTACAAAGAAGCAATGATGATCAAGACAGTGTGGAACTGACATAAAAAGGATAGACATATAGATCAGTGGAAGAGAACTGGGAGTCCAAAAATAAAATCATGTGTCTATGGTCAACTGATTTTCCATAACAGTGCCAAGACCATCCAATGGGAGAAAGAACAGTCTTTTCAACAAATAGTGCTAGAACAACTGGATAGCCACATGCAGAAGAATGAATTTGGACCTGTACCTCAAAACATATATAAAAATTAAATCAAAATAAATCAAAGGCCTAAATGTAAGAGCTAAAACTATAAAACTCAGAAGAAAAAATAGGGATAAGTCTTCATGACCTTAGCTATGGAAATGCATTCTTAGATAATGACACCAAAAGCCTGAGCAACAACAACTGAAACTGGGCTTCATCAAAATTAAAAATTTTCATACTCCAAAAGATACTACTAAGAAATGAAAAGACAGCAAAGTATAGAAAAATATTTACAAATCATGTATCTATTAAGGGACTCATATCTAGGATATATAAAGAACACTTATGACTCAATAATAAAAAGACAAAAAACCCAATTAAAAAACGAGAAAAGGATATGAATTAGACACTCTCCAAGAAGATACGGCAATGGCAACAAGCTAATGAAAAGTTGTTCACATCATCAGGGAAAGGCAAATTAAAAGCACAATGAGATACTACTTCATATCCACTAGAATGGCTATAATAAGAAGACACACAATAACAAGTGTTGACAAGGATGCGGCAAAAGTGGAACCTTCATACACTGTAGGTATGAACATAAAATGTTTCAGCTGCTTTGGAAAACAGTCTGAAAGTTTCTGAAACAATTAAATGTAGAGATACCATATAGCCTAGCAATTACACTCATAGGTGTACACCCAAGGGAAATAAAAACCTATGTCCACACAAAAACTTGTACTTGATGTTCAAAGCAGCATTATTCACAAGGGACAACTGTGCATCTTTTTCAGAGCCTTATCCCAGCTCTAAGAGCTGAAAGCGCTCAGTGCAGGAAGTGGCAGTAGCCTCAAGTCTTCTCAGTCTGCCTCACCCTTCTCAGTCTGGAACCACCTTAACGAGTCAGGAGAACAGTGATTAGGGCCCCAGTACTGTCAGTGGCAATGCACTCAGTGTACAGCCTCCGTCCCACCAATGAGGTCTGGGAAGGGTAAGACAGTCCCCACTTCATGGCCACACTTTGAAGGAATATTCAGCTTTCAATTACTGCAAATGAATCATCTGTTTTGTACACCATACATAGCAAGGTAGAGGGTAAAGGAGCTTCTCATTTCCCACAAAACACTGACCAAGCTCCTACTGTGTGTAAGAAATGATGGGAGATGTGTTGCATTGCTTGGGTTTGCTACCGTCCTTAGTGGCACACAGAGAGAACCAATTTACTTCAAATAAGTCAAGGAGATTAATTTGCTATTTAAGAAGCAATAAAATGTATCCCGAGTCCCAGACAGATCCCAGATAGATATATAGTTTCTGAATATATGTTCTTTTGAATTATATATGTCATTTTGAATTATATATGCCATTGCTTCTGGAGTCAGAGGACTCCTCAAATTATGAATACCTTCAACTATTATTAACTAGTACACCATTACAACACGTTAAAGGAATTATTTTTAGAAACTGATAAAAGAAAGCAATAGGAATGAAATGTCCCTTCAGCCCTACTAACCTGTATGACGTTGCCTACGACGACACTGTCAATAGTTTCAGGCGAGACTTTGCCAGCAGACAAGGCAGCCCTGGCAGCAGATTCAGCCAAGTCAGTAGCTGTGAAATCTTTCAGGAGACCTCCATAAGCTCCAAAGGGTGTCCGCTTAGCAGCAACGATGAACACACCTATTGCAAAGAGGAGAGATTTATGAGCAACTACAGGTTAGTCAGTGTCCCTAACATGCTTTAAATAATTTCATTGTGAACCTTATTGTAAAGTACAATTTTCAATTAAATAACTAAAAATCTTTGTCACATAATAATACATAGAATGGGCCACACTCACAGAAGCAGTACTAAAAGCTATCATTTTGATCAATACCTACATGCTGGCACCAAGAACTGTACTGCAGGCTACTATGTCAATCCATTTTGGCTAGATGACATTCTTATAATCTGATGATTTGCAATGCTAGAAACATTTGTTTAAAACGAAATGCTTCTTCTAGTTGCTGGAGTATATTGCCTAGTCATAGAATCAAAGAATCTCCCAACTAGAAGGTACCTTAAGGTTGTTTGAGGCCAACCACTCATCCTATAAGAACATCCTCTAGAATATTCCTGACAAGAGGTCCTCTCTAACTTCTGCTAAAGAACTTTCAGTAAGAAGGCATGCTCCATTGTGTGAAGCAGTGTGCCCGTGAATAGGCAACATAACCTAACGATTTTTTTTCTCATACTGAGCTGGCTTGGCTTACCAAGTGTTCCATCTACCAATCGTAGTTCTATCCAAATGCATTCCAAACTCAGACAGATTATATAGCATCTAGAACATACACTGCTTTGAATTTGTATTACATATGTCACTGCTTCTAGAGTCAGAGGATGACTCAAATTACAAATTTCAAATAATGTGAACTATTACCTTTTACTCTTAGAATAAAATGAGCATAACAGATGACCTTTATCATGGGTAGCCCCTCCAGTATCTGGAGTCAGCTAACCTGTAAAATTCCCCAGACCTAATGACTCTTTTTCCAAATACACAAAAAGCATTTTTTCAACAGTTCTTTATTTAACATTAATTCTGATTGTTTTTCTCTAAAGACACTCTCATTTGCTAATATCCTATTATAACGTGTCAGTTAGAATGTAACAAATTTTCCTACATCTGAGCTAACCACAAAGGATACAGAGGAATTATCTATACATCTATTATTGCAAAGACTACAAATTTGCAGTATTACTATTGGTTCCATTGGTGTCCCTGTACAGATAAATACAAATTGTCCCCTCCCAAGGCACTCTACTGCCACCTGCCAAAAAAAAAAAAAAAACAAAAACAAAAAAACCCTGGGGTCGTAAATCGGCCAGAATATTCAAAAGACGTCAACGTTTCAAGAAGAC